TACTTTTCTTTCATTCTGTATGTCCTAACCCATGTCTGGTTGGCTGGCTCTGGGTGTCTCCTTCTCTTTCTCCTTTGTTCTCTCCTCTCTGTCCTTCTCTTTTTCCTCTTGAGCCTAGATTCCTCCTCCTACTTATTCTTTCTGCCTGCCAGCCCTGCCTATCCCTCTACTGCCTAGCTAGTTCAACTTTTAATTAGACCAACCAGGTACCTTAGGCAGGAAGAGCAACATATCTTTACATCGTTGTACAAATGCAGCATAAACAAATGTGATACATCTTTGCCTAGTTAAAGTAATAGTCCACAATGTTGGACTTTTTAAGATTAGGAATAATTATTACAGGAGAAATACAGTCAAGAAGCAGGCAAACTTACAGAAATGGGGGGACAGTATGGTGGATCTGGGGCAGGAGAGGGGAGTTTATTATTGGATACAGACTTTCAGTTCTACAAGATGAAGAAGCTCTAGGGCTGCTGCAAACACTGTTGTTAGAATTGATACTGCAGACCTCTACACTTGGAAACAGCTACAGTGGTAAATTCTGCTGTTTAACACAAATGAAAATACCATTTGTTCTCACCTCTCTTCCTCTCCCCCTCCCTCCTTCCTTCTCCCCTCCCTCTCTCAACAGGGTCTCACTATGTAGTTCTAGGCAACCTGTTACTCACTACGTAGCCTATACTATGCTCAAACTCATAGCAATCCTTCTACCCCACCCTCCCAAGTGATGGGATTAAAAGTCTGAACTACCATGCCTGAACTCATTAGTTCTCTTTATCATCAACAATCATTAAGTAAATTCCAAATGAATTAAAGAGTTAAACTATGCTAATTTTTCTAATTGTTCCCTTATAAAATAGATTCTGAGTGCACCTTCTGGTGAGCTGTTAAAAAAAAAAAGTTGGTTGCCATAGGGTTGGTTTCTCTATTGCTGTTGATAAAATACCGAGACTAAATGCAATTTGGGGAGGGAAGGGTTTGTTTCACCTTATAGCTTATAGTCAGTCCATCGTCAGAAAGTCAGGGCAGGAACTTGAGGCAGGAACCAGGAGGCAGGAATTGAAGCAGATGCCATGAAAGAGTATTGCTTACAGGCTTGCTCCCCATGGCCTGCTGAACTTATTTTCTTATACCATCTAATATCACAGGCCCAGTGGGCTGGGCCCACCCACATCAATCATTCATCAAGCAAATGTCCCACAGGCTTGCCCCCAGGTCAATCTGACAGAGACATTTCCTCAATTAAGGTTCCCTCTTCCCAAGTGATTCTAGCCTATGTCAAGCAAAAGGGCAAAGGAGGAAAAGCAAGTGAACAAAATAAGGCCAATGAAATTTAGTTAATTTCTATGTATCTGCAATAATAGTACTTCTATAAGCCTAGAGTCAGCATTTACTCTCAAAGACCTTGAGATATATGCAATGTGTGAAAACAGATAACACTGCCCTTGCCCCTTACAGCATGGCTTAGGCCTGAGGACTACCTCTAAAGGGGAACAGGGCTAGGGCTCTCTCTTCACCTGCCTCTTCCTCACTCTTAAGAACACCAAGCATGCTTTCTACTCAGGGAAGAGAGAGCTGGCCACCAAGCCACTAACCCTCTATAAGTTACATGGCTTAGCAGAAAACCCAGGTGACAGCTTCAGAGCTACAAACCTTATGAAAGATGAATTACAGAGAAATGCTGCTGCCAGAGGGGTGGAAATAGGACAGTTCTCTGAAGGCAGGTGGGCCTCCTCACCAGCATCTGAGAAGCCTGAGGGGCAGAGCTGGCCTGCCCAGGGTAAGGTAAGTTCCACTGACTGCTCCACAAGCTGGATTTTGAGCTGAGGAGAGCAAGTATTTTGAGCATATATAAACATTACCAAAAGGGACTAAGGGATTGTCATTGTTATTTTTCCTTCTAACAATTATTAGTTAGTACAACAAATTACTATACCAAACCACCATGCCAGTAAAATCATGTCAGATCCACATAAGAGAAAGTGTTCCTTCAACAGAACTTTAATATTCACCTCTGCTAATTAAGTATTTTTATTTCTAACTTTATTTTGGATCTAGGGACAGTGCTCCAGGCCTCAGCTCTGAGTGACTGACACCCCCAAGCCCCACAGTGTTACACAGTAAACCTGTGTGTGTGTAAGAGTTGTGTTCTGCACACTTACAGGCGTCCCAAGAAGCATACTATTGTCTCTGACATTAACTTGCCTTTTTTTCCCCAGAAATGCCCTCTATCACTTTACTATCTAAATACTATGGTACATAGCAATGTCTTTTTCCAAGTCATAAATGATGAAAGAGTAAAAACCACAGAGAAATTGGGAAAATAAGATCAGCAGCCAAAACAAGCAAGCCAGAGGAAGGGCTGTGAGCTACTGGTTTGGAAGCGAAAACACTGCATGGTGGAGCCACACCTGGAGGGTGACATGCCACTCCATTCCCAAGCCAATCATAAAAACAGTCTCAGAAGCCAGGCTGTGAAGGTTCAAATAGCAGACCTAAGCTTGGAGGGGGCATCAGGCCCCTCCATAGCAAACTTGTAACTGTAGAGAGCCTCTGTTGTTAATGGTGGTGACAGTTTAAGAGCATTTTTGGCCTAAGTAAGTGGTAAGTTCCACAGAAAATCAACTCACTAAAAAGGAACAATTACTTGTCCCATGGGAAATATACATATTCACAATTATCTGCATAACAACTCTAATCTATGTATTTCACTTATGTGATTCTTCCCACTTATAAAAAGACAATGAGTTCAACAATATGACATGTAAAGTTATAAAAGTAGCAATGATGAAATTTACAATTTGGGGTAGAAATTCTGCAGAAGTCAAGCACAAAGGAAGATAGCCACTGAAGGCAGCACCAAATCGAGGTGAGGCAACCGAACTTTCTGACAGAGACACTTGGCACATACGTCTCCGGGGGCATAAGCCACACAGGAGCAGCATTTCTTTGAAGTACACAAGTAAAACTTGTCTATTTGTGCCTGGAAATTTCCCTTAAAACGCTAACAACTGGGGCAGGTGGGTAATGCATAGACGGGAAATGAGGGGGGTACTTTTTTATGACTATGGAAGCTGAGTAATGATTAGATGGGGCTCTACCTACTATCATAAATTGCAGATGTTTAAATACCTCTAAAACTTAACTTTTCCAAAGAATCGTTAGTAATCACAATATAATATTGTAGTTTTTTAATCAAAAAAGATTAAGAGCTGAAAATATAGCTCTGGCGCTGGACTTAAAGCTTGAACTGCAAAAAAAAAAAAAAAACAAAAAAAACAAAAAACAAAGCACAAGGAGCTGCCTGTCAACTGTGTTACTAGGATGACTCTAATTATGCAAAATGTACCACCCCCCCCAAAAAAAAAATTAAAAAAAAACACTGCAATGTTTCTGTGACTGCTAACAAAGTCCGGGATTAACCCAATTTTCACTTTTCATACTTTCAGTCCTCTTCAGAGTCTGACACAGAATAAACGAGCATATTTATTTCCTTTAAATAAAAGCCAACACAACTCCTAAAAGCCACATCATTTCACGTTTAACTACTTAGAACTTCTGAGGTAACAGCAATCCAAATAGTAGGAGAATGAGGGCAGAAATATTACAGTCATTTAAAAAGTAACCACAAACAACATGAGGTTAAGACTCTCTCCTGAGCACACCCCCTGCTGGAGCAGCACAGGCCCACAGAACCCAGCGGAGCAGGGCTGCCCAGATGAAAAGGGCCATTGTGTTCACAAAGCACATAGCTTTGCAACACATGAGGCTGCTGAGCACGTCAAATACGGCCAGCGTGATGGAGAAAGTAGGTTTTCAGTTTAATCTTAAGAGCACATGTGGCTCCTAACTTCCATACTAGACTGCAGGGCAACCAAGGAGAGTAGTCATCATATTCATGGCTCTGCTGACCACGCTCCCTCTCCTGCCATTCATCTGTAGTTTACTGAACCATTGCCACAACCCCTCTCTCCAAATAGCTACTGAATCATTACTTCTAAAAAGATTGTACACTGAGCTTCTAGCACTTTCTATGAAGAAGTAGCATAAATGAACCCCATTAAGTACTAAGATGTAACTGCACACAACTTTGATACTTGTCTCCTTTCTCAGAGGCACCCTGATCAGTGCTGAACAGAGCTGTTTGGTCACCTATCACCACCCCACGCTCTCATTGTTCCTCTTGCAGAAAAGCAAAAAGAAAGTATAATAGTGCAGTTTTAGCAACACCACAGCTTTCCTTATAAGGTTACTCTAGCAAGCATAGCTTTATAATCAATGACCCCATCGCTGAAAAACAGCATTGCCCATGAGATTTTTGTGCTTATGCTAGCAGAAGGTGTGTTTCCCCTTTCACCTGGGTCACCAGAAAGTTGAAAGTTATCCTTGGGTTACAGATAACCATCTCATGGTGTTAACCCCACCCTTCAGCTTCCAATTTCTGACATGTGTGTTTTAACCACTGAGATTGCTTCACTAATGCTAATAGTGAACATTTTTTCAAGACCAGCAAATTAATAAAATAGAAATAACCAATGCAAACTAAGCTGAACAAAATTCCCAGAAAATATCAGAGTGGCTTCTTACCTCTACTGATGTCTAAATCAGACAGCTAAGATACTCTTTTCCAAGTTAAAAAAAGGAAGGAAGGAAGGAAGGAAGGAAGGAAGGAAGGAAGGAAGGAAGGAAGGAAGGAAGGAAGGAAGGAAGAAAGGAAAAGAAAGGAGAAAGGGAAAGGAAAGGAAAGGAAAGGAAAGGAGAAAGGAAAGGGAAGGGAAGGGAAGGAAAGGAAAGAAAAAAGGAAAGGAAAAAAAGGAAAGGAAGAGAAAGGAAAGGAGACTAATGTATTCACAGCACCACACTGTGTCTACTGTGAGTTTACTGTGCTTCCCCAAAGACCCTGAGAAGATCAAGAGCCAAGACCTTTTGTTGTGCTTTTGTTGCCATGTTTCTATGCAGAAAAGACAATCATGAGTATTTTCTACCCATTCACTTCATACCTTGAGTGCTCTTGAAAGTGCTGTGCTCGTAACTGGGATGCCACAAACAACGATGATGCTATGGCCAATAACTGGTTTCTCTCACTCTGTGTTAACGTGTGTCCTGTAGGAAATCAATCCATCAGTCATATCTGTAATGTCAACATCTGCACTTCCTCTTACAGTCATTAGTCAATCAGACAAGCACTCCACCAGACATCTATTTGGAGTCAGCATTATATAAGAAGCAGGTTAAAGGGTGTAAGAAAGCTCCACAAGAAAGAAACCCTGAGCTTTGCTCACTCAAAGCTCACTGACGAACACAGGGAAAGAGACTGTTTTGTTTTCAAAGTTTATTAATTTTCCAACTAGAATTCTCTGGTCATAGATTTACAAATACCAGAATAATGACATTATTGAAAGCAAATTTCTAGTTATCATTTAACACTTATTTTTACACAAACCATGATTTAATTTTCAGTGGAAGCTTCTTGTCTAAGCAACTATATTTCAAACTTATTCATTTATACTGGAGAACAAGAAATTACTGACTTTTCTAAAGCTCTGACTGCATACCAACACCTTTTATTCTAAAAGTTTGAGTAGACAATTCCAAAATTCATAGTCTGGCTACTCTGCAATGTGAACAATAAAGTGTTAAGGGCATATGTACTGAAGGTGGCCAAAATCTCTCCGGAGCAACTAGCAGAAAGGTTGACTGATACATGGTTGATCCCTCCCCTGTACCTTACCACCAGTCTTGTTTATCTGAACTCTGAAGTACATGAAAGTGCTATGTTTATTGAATCTTTTAGAGAAAGAAACTTAACTGTTTAGATAAAAATACTATTAAAATAATAAAACCAGGGCATCTGAGCTGGCTCAATGGTTAAGAGCATACATGGCTCTTGAGAGTTTGTTTCCCAGCACCCAAGTCCAACAGCTCAAAACTCTTATTTTTATTATTTTAAATTATGTGTAGGAGTGTGTCTGCATGTGGGTATGTGCACATGAATGCAGGTGCCCATGTGCAGGTGCCCATGGAGGCCAGAGGCATTGGGCTCCCTGAAGCTGGAGATATAAACAGTTATAAGCCACTGAAATGGGTGGTAAGAATTGAACTTGGGTCCTCCGGAAGAAGAGCAAGTATTCTTAACTGCTGAACATCTCTCCAGCCCCAGGAAAGAGATTTAAATAGGTCTTCAGAACAAAACAATAAATGGGAAAGCCAGACACAAAGAGCTCTCTAGGAACCACACCAGCTCCTCACACTTGCTTCTTGTCCTCACTCCCATCCATAAGTTTGTTTCTAAAGAAAGTGAGGATAAAAGGCCAAAGTTCCAGCCTCTATAGAAGCAGACTGATGCCAGTCAGGGGCATGGACAAGGCCATGTTTTTCTAGCATGAAGGATTCAAAGAAAATGAAAGCATGCTTCTCCTGCCTTTATGTATATAGTCAGAACTTGAAGGCAGATCAACCAACTGATTAGTCAATCAATAAATCAACAAATTTCTCGCCCTCACAATTTCTCTCCACACCAAAATTCAGTTGGCCCCAGGAACAGTGGTCTAGCTCCTGGCAGGCCTCACATGCCTGACTGCCTTGCAGCAGGTAACTGCTGCACTGGTAGAATTGTTCAGGAATCTATGGGTATCGAAGCAGGCGTCAGGCACTGCAGGGTCTGTAGTTAGCACACCACTTGAGAGCTGACGCAACCACAGTCCGCTGCTAGTCCTGTGACAGCAGACAACCACACGGCACAGTAGGTACAACTGGAGTTCTGAACAAAGAATATCCAGTGGGCACACAAATTTATTTGAAAGAAATAAAGTAGTTTGAACATTATTTCTAAAACTCACTCAGAATAAACTAAAAATACTAAGAATTTAAATATAAATACTTTTCAAGATCTGTAGCACATTCTCTACAAAAAGGTAATTCACAAAATAGAAGGGTATGGAAAACCCAAGTGATAAATCCCTTTTTGGGACAAATCCCAGACACTGAATGAACTGTAACACAACATGGGAGCTCACACCTGATTCTAGGATTCCAGAGACACCACTCATTGACCTCATAAACCACAACCTTGTGGGTCACGTCACGTCCCTGATCTTCTCCTGACACTGGAGCAGGGAAGAAAAGGCCCACATAATCCACAGCTATGCATACATTCTATATGAGGTGGATCACAGAAAAGAGACCCAGACATCCCAAAACAAACACCTAGAAGAAGAATTCTTCAAGTGTGGCTCAGGGATGACTTGGGACCCTAGGAGTCCTGCACAGGCCAGCAAGACTAGAGCAATTTTCCTGTTTTCTTTTTATTGACCTTCATTTTCAGGGAGAAGTATTTCTGCATTTCTTCCTGGGGTCTACTACTGGTTCCAGACCCCAGGACACAGAATGCTCCCATGTCAACACCAAATGGATTTACTTACAGTTATTTACAAATGAACCAATGAGTATGTTCCAATTCCTCAGTAACATACAAAGATCAGTAGATACATTAAGCTCTTTGGAGCAAAAGAGAACTAATGGTCCTCAGACTTCATGGGGCACCTCTGTAGCAGGCTCTGAAATCTATCCTCAGCAGCACACAAAAGAGAGAATATGATAACACATATGCATACTTCATATATTCAATCAAATTCATAAAAAAAAATCAGTAACTTCCCAAAGGAAAATAGATAATTCTGATATTGTTTTTAAAGGGGCTTGAAGTTAAAGTGTTACAAGGTACTAGAGAAACAAATACAAAATGCTCATATCTGGTCAATTGAAATTATAGTTCTTAAAATAGCTCCTTCATTTTTTCCTTTAGTTTCAAATCAAAGAAAATTTGCTTTTTAATATTCAAATTTAAAAAGTCAACAATTCTTATGTATCCTATTTTTAAATTTTAGATTCAATTATTTCAAAGTTCAAATCTAAGAACCTTTTATAAAAGTGCCCTCAGTTACAAATAGATTTGAGAAAATAAACATATATAATAGAAAATCTTAATGTAGTCATAGAGACAGGCACTTGCCTATGAACAGTGCCGAGGAGATCAGGCCAGATGGGAAACAGATGGGTAACCCCACAGGGCATAGCGACCTGGCCCCAAACATATTGAGAAGGTCCTGGACTTGCTTCATTTGCCACTTCCTGATGTCTCTCAGGCACATACATCAAACAGTCAAAGATGATGGCTTAACATAGCTAAGATCTGCTCTGGGGGGAAACTGGGGCAGGTGAAACCACTGTCTGAAGGAGAGGAGATGGTGGCCACTCAGAGAAGGAAATCTGGCATGAAATCACCTCAGGGAATAACATGGGAGTGTTGTGGAATATTACTTTAATTACATAAAGATGTGTTACATTCGTTTATGTTGTCGAATATTACTTTCAACTCTGTAAAGGTGTGTTACATTTGTTTATGCTGCATTTGTTTAATGATGTTAAGATGTGTTGCTTTGCCTGCCTAAGGCACCTGATTGGTCTAATAAAAAGCTGAACGGCCAATAGCTAGGCAGTAGAGGGATAGGCAGGGCTGGCAGGCAGAGAGAATAGGGAAGGGGAGGGGAGGGAAGAGGAGAGGAGGGTCAAGAATACTCCAAAAAGCTAATACATTAAGTGGAACCGACGCCAAGGAACCTTCAGTCATAAAAGAAAAGCTATGTGTTGCAATTAAGAACAAAAATAACCTGACATAACAAACTTCTGAGAACGAAACAGTTCAGCACATACATACACACATACCTTTGAAGCCATCAGGATACACATCAGAGAGAAATTTGGTGCTGATGTCCCCTTTCACAAAGCGTGCATTGATTATCACCTCACGAAGCAAGGGGATGTTGTGTGTAACACCTAAAAACAAAAGTTGAAGCTAAATTGGAGAACAATGAGTCAGGCAACAATCTAACTTTGGGAGGGCTGAGGGAATTGACAAAATGCCTGCCATACAAACGTAAGGACCTCAGTTTCACTCCCATGTGAAAAATGCAGAGGATAGCTGTGTATACCTGTATGCCAGTGTTGGGCAAAGACAGGAGGATCACTTCCTGGAGCTTGCTGTCCAGGCAGTCTAGTCAAATCAGTGAGCTCTAGGTTAGTGAGAGACCCCGGAGAGCTACTAAGAAAGATACCAGCATTGGCCTGTGATGTACACACACACACACACTCTGTCTCTCTCCCTTTGTCTAAGAATAACTCAATTACTTGTCTCCTTAGCTAATAAAAATATTAAAACAAAAACAAAGCAAAACCTACCCACTCAGACTCCATTTTCCACCCTTCTTGCAGCTAAGCATGACAACAAATTCCTAAGCAAGGGAATGCAAGTTGAAGTGATGTGTTCAACACTTTTCTTTCATTTCCTCCTCTTAGGGGCTTCCTGATGTGGCAGGAATTTCACTTTGGCAATGTAAATGAAGTAGATCAAGCCCTAGTCTGTTTATCTGTCTGTGTGAGCATGTTTATCCCCTTAAACAATCTCACTATCTGGAAGGACCAATAAACTCATTACATAAAAACCAAGTATATTTCCATAGTATCCATACCACTGTATCGAGACACCTTGGTTACAGCAGGTTACCATGAACACAAAGTTCACATATGAGGACACAGGTTTATCATTCTGAAATAACTATCCATCCCTAGGCTAATTAATATTAACAACTTACTATATCCTCCTGGGCATTTTTTCTATGCATCTCTTTATTCTAGACCACATTATCAACCTATATAAACATGTTACCATCTCTGTTTCCAAATTCACAAAATACTGTATATCTCAACTGTATAAAATCAAATTCTTAAATCATCCCACCTACCTCAAACACTTATATCAAGTTCCAGAATTCTACTACGAATGTTATTCCTTTATATAAAAATTCCACAGATAGAGTTATCCTATTTAGAGGGTTGCAAAATAAATAACCTTTGCATTACATGTCTGTGAGAAATGTACCCTATCCCAACCTTGCTTTGCAAGCAACAATTTAGCTGATGGCCAAAAATTACTGCTTCCAAGGGCTTTATATTAACAGGCAAAGAATACCGAAAATCAACTACATGCCTGAAGCACAGACATATTAGACATATATAAGGACCTTTAGTAAACAAACAAATACTTTCATTACTTAGGTAAAAGAAGGTCTATGATGTGTCTGATGACATAATGAATAACCAATGAAAACAAGGGGACATTCATCTACAAGTAGGCAGCATTTGATAAGATGCTTAGAGAGACAAACAAAGGGGCAAGAACTTTAAAATCTTCTTGAAAAGGGTCGTGATATGAAAGGAGGATCAGCAACTGGATCGTGTATTACAAATGGACAAAATCAAAGCACTTTTGAAAAAGGGATCTCATCTGCCAGAGAGAGGTGCTGTGCATAGGAAATGACCACAACAAGGTTTCTAAGAGAAAGGTGAAGCAAGATGTGGGGATGGAAACTTGAGGTCTGGATATTAGAAGGAATTTTACCTGTTTTGAGAATTTTTCACATGGCTGGAGAGATGGCTTAGTAGTTAAGAACACTTGTTGCTCTTGCAGAAGGTACAGGTTCAATTCCCAGCACCCATATGGTGGCTCACAACCACCCAAAACTCCAGTTCCAGGCAGACTGGTGCCCTCTTCTGACTCCATGAGCACAAGACATATACATGGTGCACATACATACATACATACAAGCAAAACACTCATATATAGAGAATAAGATAGATAATTTTTAAAAATCAAAGATTTTCACTGTTGTACAAAGCAAATGGTTGCCAGTGGGCATTTGTGTGGAGAAGACTGAAAGGAAGGCAATCCAGCCAAAGAGGAGGAGACACAGTCAAATGCAGCTGAAAATCCAATGCAGCAGTCAAGGTCCAACAGGCCCCAGAAAAAAAGTCACTGTGCCTTCAGAAAAATGAGAGAACAGTGGGGAGAAGCAGAGTAAAGCTGGTAGGTTTACACATCACGAGGAGACTGCACAGGGAGAGGGTGAAGGTGGGAAACACGTCGTTTACAACCGCACAATGGAAACCGCCCAGGCTGTGCTCCACAGCAAAGGGCTGACAGTGTCTGTGGAGAGCATGAGTGGGACCTCAGAGAGTGATGGATTTAGCCACAAACTGAGTGGCTAGGCTGATGTCAAGGGAAGGATGTGAGTCAGAATGTCCTGATCTCTGGGTCTACAGGGGAACAGAGGATGCCTCAGCTGACATGGAAAGGACAAGGGGAAACACTTGTCTCCCTCTGAGCAAGGCAGATAGATGCCTGTAAGAAACAGGCTGGAGCTGTCTGAGGGATTCCCACTCCAGTCCATGACAGGTAAAAGGGTCTCAAGACCTGTCCAGGGCCACCAACAGGAAGGAAGCAAAACAGCAGGAGAAGCAGCAGACTCAGGCAGGATGGAATCAACCCACACACTACCACGGGTATTACAATAACCAAGTGTGCAAGAAATAACACCCTATGGGAGGGCCAACGTCAGAAGACTAAGGTGCAGCAGTGATTTAATTCAAAGAGAGAAAAATGATTGTTCTTACGTGAAAATTAATGACTCAGTTAATCCATTCATAAGACACCTTCCCCAACCTGCTATTGAAATAGTAGATAAGTTAGTGAGACAGTCTAACTCCTACGATATTGCTCCAGTTAGTAAAATAAAATTAATATTTGCCTACATATGTAATATTTCACAGTTAGCTTTACTGAGTTTCCCTTTACAGCCTAGTCCTGGTAGAGGTTTCTCATCCCTCCATACTGCCAATACCCAAACAGCACAATCTGCCTTCAGCAAATATAACACGGCTTAAAGATGCAGTTTATAATTTGGACAAGATAAAGTTACTTTCTGATACCCAAAATATTGAAATAAATGCAAGTAACAGGGTAAATGCTGCAATGGCACTTCATTCCATATTCATAGTTGAAAAGGGGGTGTTCGTTTTAGAAAAGGTAACCCAAAAGGATTGTGAACAAATATTACTTAAATTTAGGATATTAAACAGCAGCGTGAAACACACACATGGGCACCTGCTCTTCTTACAGCTGACTCTCTTTCATCCCCTCCCTCTGTCCTCAGGCTCCTGTGGCTTTCCTGTCACGTGTGTCCTTTGTACTCTCCCCCCATCCCCTCAGAACTTCTTTTTACACTCTCTTGGTCTCCTTTCTGACTTCACCCACATTTACACCTGTTTATAAACACACACACACACACACACACACACACACACACACACACACACGCATACACACACTACAAACTAGGGTGGTTGTGATCATATCAATGAGAAGACAAGGTTGGTGTCTTTCTGAGTCTGGGTCACCTTGCTTAATATAATTCTTTCCGACCCCATCCATTTTTTTGAAATTTTCATAATTTCATTTTTCTTTACAGCAGAGTAAAATTCTATTGTGTCTATATGCCACACTTTCAATACACATTCATCTATTGATGGGGCATCTAGGCTGCTTCCATTCTATTGAAGAATTTTTTTGAAATCTTTCTACTTATATAATAAATACAACATGAAAAAGACTTAGATTTCACTAAGTAATGTTTCAAGAATAAAATTAAAACTCAAATACATTTGTCCTTAAAGTTCTCTGAGTAGCATACCACATACAGATATGGGAAATCAAGTCACCAGCTATTTTGGTTCTCTAAGGCACACAGTAAAGTGCACTTCCCTTTCCACGTATGGCTGACAGCACCGCTAGCGCCCAGGAACTAGTGCCCAGGAACGAATTCTAAAGCCCAAACAGGAATAATCAGGAAACCGTTCCGCACATAGAAAGCTCGAAACAGCAGATGGAAGGAATGATCCATATGAGAGGTACCACTGTGCATTTAGTTTGCTGTCTTTCCTGTCCCAGGAAAGACAATGCCATTTGAGTAAGTCCCTGTATAAACAGTAGGCGGACAGTAGAGTATTCTTTCAGAGTTAGTTTATAGCCTCACTAATATTATTAATCACATAATCATAAAAATTAAGAGTGAGAGTTTCAGATTGGGAATTGGGGTGACCTGTGCCAGAGTTCACCAGATCCCATCTGCATGGGAAATCATGACCAGGCCACAGAGGGAGGCCTCAGGAGCAGTCTTCTGACTGCCTGCTGGTTCCAAAACAGCAGGCCAGACACTAGCTGTGCACTCCACCAGGATCAAACAGAGGCTGAGGCCAATGCTTCTTTCCTGGGGACTTGGAATTTAAGTTTAATCTAGGTATACTATGCTCTAAAATTTCTCTACTTTCACAAATGTTCAAGTAATTTGGTGGGGTGGGGGGCAGGGGGGAATCCACATTTGACCAATGAAGCAGTTACTTAGCAATACAGTAAATTCTTCTTCCTTTCCTGCCCTTTACAAAACAGTTTTAAAACACACCCATCCTTTAGAATTCACCAGGTAAATAAGTAAATACCAAAGGTAATAGTAGGGAGCAGGGAGGGAGCCTTTTATTTTAAAAAACAACAACAACAAAAACAACTTATTCTGTAATAATTTCAGAATCTTCAAAAGTTGACAAACTAATACAGATAATTATTGTTCACCCTTGACCCAGGCTCTGAGTCTGTGGTAGTCTCTGTACGCATAGACCACAGACCACACACACCATTTTCTAATGTAAATACTTGAAGGTAAGTTGAAGACAGGACAGCTTCTAAATATCATCCTGTACATTTCCTAAGAAGAGAAGTTTCTTTTGCAAACAAGTGTCTATCTAATCTACAGACATTACTCAAACTTCCCCAGTTGTCCTACTTATGACTTTTACTACAAAAGAAAGCCTTTTTCCTGGTCCAGGATCTAGTGCCAAACCCTCGCACTGGCTGGTCTGTGCCTCTGGTTTGCTTTGATCTAGATAAGCTGCTGCCTTCTCTTTGTGTTTATTGACCTTGACACCTTTGAAGATCAGAAGCCATTTATTTTGTTGATTGTCTTTCAGGTTGGTATGTCTGGTGTTTCCTCATGATTATATTCAGTCTACCCATTTTCAGTTGTGTGCCTGCATGCATGTGTGTGTGGGTGTATGGGTGTGCATGTGTGTCACAAATGATCATAACAAGAGGTGCAGGACAGGAGTGAGCCCTGGCTGCTGGGTAAGGTTGCAAGCATGAAGCAGTTCCCATGTTGCTTATTAAGTGTATTATGGAGGGGTGCCAAGAAATTATGAAAAGAGTTGTTTCTCTATTTTCCCCATTAACTTCAGTATCTACTGATTTTCTTATATTTTATATTCTCAGTATAGTGCTTTTTCTACATCTATTGGTTTAAAATCTATGTGAAGGAGCCATGCCATCTCCTTCATTTATCCAACCCAAATATTTCCAGCTCCTGACTCTTACTTCAGCTACAGGCTGTAAGTTAACTGCTGGCACTACTTCCTGTGTGGCAGACTCTGAGTTTGACCAGTGGAGGCCTCTTCAAGCAGCTCCTGTGTCTTCCTAATAGATCTGCTTTTGAAGTTTTCCTTGGTTTGTTTGTTTTACAGTTTGTACAGGGTGTCACACTGTAGCCAAAACTGGCCTGGAACTGTCACACACCAGTCCTTCTGCCTCAGCCTACCAAGTAAGCGGAGTCCAGGTGAGTGCTGGGATGACAGGTGTGGATTTCACCTGTCCTGACTGCACTCTTCCAGCACAGCTTTCCCCTCTTACATTGGCGGTTCAGGCTCATCTTATGCTCTTCCTGAAGCCAAAGCCTGGACACATTTAGTAAACTGAGTGGACAGAAGCCAAGCATACTCTATACAGGACTGTCATCCTACAACAGTTGCTGTCCCCAAAGTGCCAACAGTGCCCAAATTCAGACCCTTCAGCTAGAGAATGTACATATGGTGTGTGTATACATGGGTACATACACACACATGCACACACCTTTACATAGTCCTCAGTTTATATTAAAGCCCAAGAGTTCCCACGGATACCTTCAGACTCAGCTTCAAACCACACACAGGGTTCTTTCCACCCCAGGCATTCATTCCCACATCTGTTACTGCCTTTCTGACAAGGAGAAACTCGGTTCTTATTATCCACAATACATGTATTTAATTCCTCATTTCCAGAATGTACATAAATTCGTTTCAGACCTGTTAAAGCATCAACTATGAAAAACAAACATCCTAATTAGAGTTTAATATTTATTTAGACGTATTTTCTCTTTAGCCTAGGGATATGTACAGTAAATACACAACTTTCTGGGTTAGCTCTCCCCACACTCTCACCCTTTTGCAGGATTGTATGACTCATCTGAAATGGGTCCCATTAGTTGTTAGTATTCCATTTTGAGTCTTACTTACGAAACACTAATTAGTCCAGTTTCAAAAATAGTCACAGAGTCTCTACCTTTATCTCATTTACTTGGTTCCAATCCCCTGCTCATTTCCACCATACCCACTCCACTTCCTGCCAATCTTGTGTCTTTATTCAGATGTCTGTATGCACACATATATGTGTGTACCTACAGAGGCCAGAAGAGGACGTCAGACCCCCTGGAGCTTGAGTTAGGAGTGGTTGTGAGCCACCTGATGTAGATGCTGAACCCAAACTCGGGTCCCCTGGAAGAGCAGAGGCCAAAAATGATCCAGCACCCAGGCTTGCCTAGAGGATGTTCTTAGACCCTCACTGGCCATTCAAGATTATAATGTACACTTGAATCTGATAGCAAAGCTCTTTTCATTACTAACACAAAGTTGGTACTTATATTTAGTATATAATTTTCTCCTCAAAGTGGGTAAGAATAACCACTTTACAGACTCAAGTACAAGAGTGGCTTCTGTTTCAGGCAGCACCCCACTCAGAACCGAGGACAGAGACCCAGGGAAGAAAACTGCACTTTCCAGCAAACTACCTACCTCTTTTCCACGCAGAAGCCAAGAGCTGTTCTCCCAGACCCTGAATTAATCAAATGTAAGCAAGGCCCTGTGTCCATTTGCACATGTCTGTAAGTTTCGTACTTCTGACCCAAAAATTCACAGACAGTGACACAGCAAACTCACTCTCCACCTATGCGGGATAGTGGTTCCTCACAGTCTCCCACACTACACACAATATACAAGTAAGAGATACCAGGAGTCCTTCAGAGGAGTGAGCTGTGTCCCATGTTCAATTAAATGACGTGGACTGCGGAGAGTCAAACACCTGTGCCTGGTGTCAGTGTCCAACTTATTCATACTTTTCTCATCTTCATTTAAGCACAGTAAGCAATTATTTTGTGGAATTCCCTAAGTACAAAGCCTCACGCTGTTCACTCGACAGGATGCCACACATAGTAACAGAACAGCAAATGTGTATATTTTACCTCGGATCACGTAATTATCCAGTGCGTCTTCCATCCTCTTCAGTGCTTCTGTTCTATCAGACCCATATGTGATTAGCTACAAGCAAATAAACAAAACTGTATAAAGAGCCGGCCACACTGAGTGACTAGGCCTCATAAAGGTTGAATATTTCCTAACACAGTCACCAATGTGTCTTTTCAATTTCCACAGCAGTCCAATTTTTTCATACAAAATGTCAAGATTTCTTTGAATAAACAAATGAGAACCAACCCATCTCAGATGTTTCCACGACATGTCACTGTGATAGTAAAGAAAGATTTGAAAACTGGAAACAAGCACAGAAGAAAAATGGAGGAGAGGAGGGAACAGAGCCTGAAGAACTGACCAGCCCAGCAGCACATGGCACAGTGTGGGGCTAGGGATGAAGTCTCTAATATCCCTGGTTTTCTAGGCTTCCAAGTTTGATTTCCTAAACAACTAAAACTTTTGTAACTTTCAAAAGAGCCAGTATGAAAGTGAAAGAAAAGGCTAGACTGTCCTTAAAATTAGTGTCTCCCATAGCCTAACACAAAAGCTGAAGGTGCTGGTTGAAACAAGGAAGGCCATTTTTCTGCATGAATCTGTGTCTTCTTATATGGGATCTCTAAAATTAAAAAAAAAAAAAGACCTTGACAATATATATTAAGGCTTTTTAAATGCATATCAACAAATTATAGGCCGTAATTATTTTAGTAAATTTTATACGCTCTTTAATATAAACCCAGTTTGCCACATGGTGGCATATACCTTTAAGGCCAGCACTTAGGAGGCAGAAGCAGACAGATCTCTGTGAGTTTGAGGCCAGTCTGGTTTACAAAGCATGTTCCAGGTCATCCAGCTACATAGTAAGACACTGTCTCAGAAAAAAAATAATAAATTTTACACATATAATTCATCTAGAAAATTTGTAGGGCATTTTTCTGAATGGAAGAACATTCATCTAAAAAAGAAACAGCAAGTTTGAAAATTAATTTGTAATATTTTGTGTATTTTTACTTTCAAAGTGTGTTTCTCTAATAATTAAAGCATCTAAGATTTCTTTTAAGAATATTAATGGTAAAAATAAGTGAAAAAATTGTGAAGATAAAAAATGGCTTGTTTCTTCAGCTACAACTACATAAGAAAGCACTTTGGGAACCAGGGGTGTGGTTCACGGCAGAGTGTTGGACAAACTCGCATGATCCCTGTTTGATCCCCAGCACAAAACTAACAGAAAACCTGAAGATAATCAGTCCTTGAGATAAAGTTATTGTTTCAGAGACAAGGGGTTTTTAAATAAAATCCAAAGTTTATATATTGCAGCATTTTACAATTTATGAAGTCTTAAGATTTTAGAAGTTCATGATTTTTTACTTTACTCTGCTAAGTTAAAGTTTAAAAAAACACATAGGCCAAATCTTATTGTACATTTTTCTATAAAAGTTAACTGGGTCAGGTGGTGACTTGGTGGTGGGGAACCTGACTGGGACGCACCAGGCTCTGGGTTCCAGCCATAGTGTAAACAACCAAAGTCAAATCCACTCAAGCTGTCATGTAGAAAACCTTCCAAGGTCAAGAGCACTCTTAACAAATACGGCCTATAGGCCCAGTTCTCCACAGAACCTGCCACTTACACCACCCGTTTTTGGAAGGGCAAAACCAACCTAGTTCCTCTCATCGCAACAGGCTGAGCTGCCTGTGGTTAAAATGGGTGCTGTGCACATGCACCGGAGCAGTGCCGGTGACTGTGTGACTCAACTACGGCTGAGGGAGCCCTACAAAGCCATGAGATAACTGTTCTCACTTTCATATATTGTTTTCTGGTTTGTTTAATTACAGCACATTGTTAAGAAAAAGGCTCAACTTCTGATTCCTTAATTAAATATGTGTACTGTTTCAAAGAAAATAAAGAAATGGAACTAACTTTTGATATCATAGGGTCATAATAGATGCTGATATCACTTCCTGGTTGGATGCCACTGTCAACTCGGACCTGAGAAAGAAAAGAAAAAGTACATAACTTCATATTGGGCAGATTTGTTTCATTTAACCACAAGCTACTTTTCCATGGAGAAAAGGGATAATAAAGTTTCAGTCTCAACATCCCTGCCTCTGGAAAACTGAAAACAACCCAGACACATAATGATATTTATCTCTTAATATACACTATGGCATACAACCTTTGTTCTTTCACTTAAAAAAAGAAACTGGAAGGAGGGAGGCTTCATACATCCCTACGCTAGGGTGCACCTGCTACTGGCTGCAGCATGTTGGGATGATTCCCCACTAAAGCCCCCTCCCCAGAGAGCACTGGGGAGGCCATAGCTGTTCCTCCTCCTCTTCACAGGCCCTCTGAGCCATAGGAACTGGTCAGGCTTTCAAGTCTGCAACACTTTTCCTCGTTTGCCTCATCTCCTCAACTGTGAATGCTATTTTCTGATACTTTTGGTCCCCAGAGGCCTTGTGTTTACACAGCTTTCCACAAGGCTCTGCTCTGTGAGGATGCAAGCTCCAATTAGAGTTTGTATTCTGCACTTTTCATCTTAGGCAGGACCAGCACAGGTTCAAAATATCCTTTTGAAGCCCCTGGTTGCTGCTAACCAGCCAACAAGTTAGTTAGTGCATCACTGACTCTTGTTTTCCTCTCCCAGCTTGAGGCCAGCAGCACAGCAAGGTTGGCCATGTAAAACTCTGAATGAGCATCTGCCAAGGACAGGGCATTTGTTAGATTTATTGTGACCAAGTTTTGGATCTGAAGGATTTAGATGCTAATCAAAATATTTAAGACTGGGAGGCATCATATCCTAGGGCTTAGGATGGAAGAATTTAATCGAAGCTTCCAAAACAGCAGGGCTGTAGTGTCCAACATTGTGAGGGGTAGAAAGAGAAGACAGGAAGCTCTGTCACCTATGAGAAGGAGGCTTCCCAATAAACAGCAGCTCATCTGTCTGTGGCAAGGCAGAAAAAGGTCAACGCAGCGGCTGGTAGGCCTTTAATATTTTAATTTAGGCAATTATCAAGGGACCGCACATAGAACCTCTTGTCTAGAATATCCACATGAGGGTAGGTGATGGCTTTATTACAAGATATTAGAAGATAAGTGAAAAAAAATCACACCACTCTTCTCTTTCAAGGGTTTAAAGAGAAAGCTGGAACATGCCCAGGGAGCTCTTATTTCTGTATGTGCAGCACAAGAAATAATTGGGCCCATGTACCCACATTCCAAATGAAGTCTTAAAGTGAAAGCCACTCCACATTTATACAAGATGTGCACGGCCTTTATATACCGAAAACATACTTCAGGGCATCAATTCTATAAAACTTGGTGTTTGTAAAAAATGGGAAAGAAGTAATAGGGCAGCCGTGAAAGCAGTAAAGTTTTTGTGTGCTTTCTCTCAGCATTTAAATGGCCGCTGTAGCCAAGTTAAGAAAAAAGATGTCGTTTTTTATTAGTTTGGGTGCCAATAAGCCAGAACTACTCTGACCAGCTTGTCAGCTTTATACCCACACAGCACATTGCCAAAGCTTGTTTGACACCAGGATTGTTGCAGGTCTGAGGCTCTGACTTTCAGTACATCTTGTCATCTGCTGCACAGCTCATGTCCAACCCACTGGTAAAATACTACAAGCAATAAGGAATATTATTGTATTCCTCTGCAGTTCATAACATAGTTTTCATCATCTTAAATAATACCACCCTAAATGCTAAATAACCTATCCGTGGCTACTAGATATAACTGTCTTTGTTGCTTACTAAAATAATTACAGGAATTTGTCACTTTAAACCCAAAGGGTAAAATCAAAATGCATCATATACAATCAACACACGCAGGCAGATCAACATTCCCAAGGAAACTGTATAAAGCAAAAAAGAAACCTGACTTTTAACTTGTTGTTTATATAGGTTTTCCCAAATAATAGCCAACTACATATCTTACTTCTAACAACCAATTAAAAACAAATTTGGTGCCCATTCATCCATGAAAACAAAGTCTACATAAATTTTCACTGACTTTCACTTCAAGAGTAGAGTCAAATATATCTCTAAGCAGACAATCAAAGACTACAAGGAAAAGCCTCAGCCCTGCTCTAACAATGTGTTTCAGGCTTAAAGAAGCATGGGAAAGGTGTGAACTGAAAGTTAACTCTGAAGTATTTGCTCCTTCTTGTGACCAAAAAACCTAAGAGCCAAAACTGGCTTCCTGAGTGAAACTGAGACATCTAGTAAAGCGAAGGGAAGAGGGCCACACTACAAGCACTCATGCACCCCAAGTGTGAGGTTCTCAAGTCAGTCCTCAGACACCACCTACACAATTAAAATTGCTTTCGTCAGCCAAATAGTGGACCCTAGAAACTATCAGGCATGTCCCACCCTTCATTCTCAACTCACCTCCCCCTCAGCACAACTCCCAGCCCGCCATGTCTACCTGACAAGTGACAGCCCAATCTGATTAAATGCTTCTAAGGGAGGGGACTCATGGGCTTCCATGACAGGCCAAAAGTGATCACCATGGCGATACATAATTACAGCTGTCAACGCATCTCCTGTCCTGCTGACATCAATTTGATTGCTCCCAGCAATAATGATAGACAAAGCTTAGTGCACACTCTCCTGCCCCCATCTCTTCATCTATTCCTTGGTCCATTTAGCTGACATGCAACATTCACACACGCAAATAACAGCAGTAAGCAGAACATTTAAGGCATTTTAATTGTTTTTTCTTTCTATGGATGGATCACAACTGCAAATGTTATTACATAAAACTCCTGCTGCAGCATTAATTGAAGAAAGATTTGGTGGGACAAAGACTGTAGGGGGTAGAGTTTGTCCATTATCACTTGTACTTTCAACAGGTCTCACGTTTGAAAATTGCAAATTGCAAAAACTTGAGAGGGCAAAATGTTTGACATTCTGTGAGCTATTACAACACAGTGGAAACTTCTAACAACTAGAGTAATCATTACGCTTCTTATTTAAGACTTTTTTGTTTGATTAAAAAAGTATTTAGATATGTCCCTATGACATTTGCTCTCATGTGCTATTTAGCATCACATAATGCCTATTCAATCTTTACAATTTTTTTCTGCCTCCACGCTTTGAACACAGCATGGAGTCTCTAGGCCTAGAAGGGGTCAAATCCCTTTAGAAAGCACATGGGCAAAAAAACAGTTTAAAAGTGAAATAAATCATATATCCAGTAACATCTTCAAATTTATAATTCTTCCTGTAATCTTTCACCATCTTCTCACCACCCATCAAACTGAACAATCCTATTCACAGATGCTGCAGTCCTGTTACCCACTAACATTACGTCATCTATACATGCACTTAGTGCCTCGATTAAGAGAGAAGGTACCTCCCTTGTTCTTTTTATGCATCCAAATTGCTTAAAGGACATGAAACAGACCAACTATGGGATAAAATGAATGCTGGTCACTTTTTCCTTAAAGCTGTTGATGCCGCATAGAAGGAGTTACTTTGTTCTCCTTAATAAAGTCCTGCTGATGAGCTGATTTTGTGCTTGAATTTCTTGACATCTGACTACAACAGGGGGCTGGATTAGGCTGTTTTTTTTTTTTTAAAGATTATATTTTTAATACAAAAAGTCATTTCCCATTCTTATGATACTATAATCTTTACAGTATAAACTATCATTTATATGATTAGATGTGTTTGAACTTACCCTGTTGAGTAGATTCTGATGTTTCTGAATACCATAAAGTACAAAAAATATTTTTTTAACACAAAAACTGACTCCCCATGAATTTCCCTGTCCCTCAATTTACACCCTTTGGTGTTGACATGCTCTAACATAAAAGTGTGGCATAAATCAAGGTCTGAGCCCCTCTGCTGGTATCACAGTTAATGACTTACACCAGGTAGATGTATCGGCTCTTGGTACTGAGACAGTCTCCCAACAGACGGTAAACCGAAAGACTTATAGGGGTCCTGGAGGTTCAAAGGAAAGGAAGCACAGTCTTTGAAACATAAACCAGCACGAGGAAGGTTAACTACAATGAAGAGTATTTATAGGTCTATTTTTAACATACAGTATTTACCAATCCACAGATTCCAGAGTATGAATGTCTCATCTTCTAGACAACTTCCAAGTATATTTAAAACTCAAACAGAACTGCAAGCAGAGTTTAGCCTGACCTCTATCATACTTTATTGAAGTTGGTAAAATTCCAACTTTTCCTTAAACTTCTTAGAATGCCTTAGGCAAAAAATAAAATGACCTAGACTCTCCATCAAAATGTAACTCAAGTTCAGAATAACAAATGCAACACACCAAAGAGATTTGTTTTTCTTACTTCTCCAAACAGCTCACATATGGTAAAGCTGAGAAGCTGAGTTCTTCAAGCAAAGACTCAGAAAAAAGCTGCACAGGCTTCTACACACATACATGTTCCACTCATAAACATCATGGAGAACAGAACTGAGGAGTTCGGGGTCACCACTTCACATATGACCAAGAGCAGTAACACCAGGATAAAGCATAGTGCATCTTAAAGACATCACTAACTCACTGCTGTACATTAAAAGATCATTTTTGCATCTAAAAGATACAAATATTTATGTTGCATTCTCCAGTCATCTGAAGAAAGCATCTTCAGGTACTGACTAATCTGATATCTGATTTGTATAAACTGCCAGACTAAGACTTTGGCAAAACCCGTAATTAAAATTATGAATCAAGAGTGCATGCTTTACCAAAAGCTTTGCAATTTAGATCCCTTCCATGGAATCATAAAGGACATAATCAACAACACTCAGCCGAAGCTCTGCTGCTTCTCAACACATTGCTATCTATCGACTTTCCCACCCAGAAAAACAGGAGCATTACTTGAACTTCATTCTGTTTTTAATTGTTCCAAATTACCTAGTGTTCTGCTTTGACCACAGGTTCTCAAACCCTGACTCCACCTGCAGTTCAGCCACACTGGCTGCTTCCCCTTAGACATAACCACCCTCCTGCCTCCCATCAGAACGCATTTTACCTCAGCATAAACCCGACATTCAATTGCCCAGCCACTGAGGGGAATATCCGCTTGCTTGTGCTTGAGAGGGTAACCCTTAGCAACACGGATCATTTCTTGGACTAAGTCCAGGCCAGTAATGCATTCTGTGACAGGATGTTCAACCTGTAAGGCCAAGACCGCCAGTTAATAGATGAAGAAAGAGGCAAATAAATGGACATCAAAAACGAAAATTCCAAGTTTCAGAGACGAGTGAAGTTAATTCTATTTAACCTTTAGTAATACCTGACTAAAAATTTTCAGTGAAATACATAAAACGAAAGAATAAACACAATTCTCTATAGATGACGGTCAGAATAACCCCAAAAGCATTTGTAAGCCTTTGTGTTACTTTTCCCTATTTTGATTAATTTGTGGCCCAACCCTTAACAATTTAACTTTGCATTTCCTTTGCTGTAGCTCTCAACATGGCTGACAGTCAGCCCCTTCTGCTACACTTGTCATGGCATGTGTGAGGAGGCTGCTGGTGTTCTCAAACCCTCATCTAGTCCGAGTTGTACCTACTTGCATGCTTTCACTAACCTGTCCTGACAAGCAGCAAGATTAGCGTGATCTTGCATCAGTGCAGCATGGCAGGAAGCAGCAGATGGAGCCTTCAGGTTGCCTTCCCTCCAGACAGGCTTGGGCAGTGCTTAGCATGCACAATAGCAAAACAGGGTGAGGGAAACCACTCTGCTTTCTCAGCAGACTGCTGATAACTACTTCAGCTGATGCTGCCAAGGGAGTACCTGGCCTTCCACACCAACACATGGGATACATATGTGCAAACACATGCAACTGACATGCAGCCACGTGAACAGAGGCACATCATTATAATTTGATTGACTGTTTGCTTACAAATCTTTAAACTTGGGTTAAAATAAAGCCATTTATACCACTGAAAAAGAACATGTAATCTTTCATCTAGAATCTCAAATCAGTTCTAAAATTTTAAGGAAAGTTTTAGCCATATTTACTACTTTGATATCATTTTTTTCCTTGTAAAAATTAAGTTCTGGATATATGTCACAATAATTTCTTTATCGTGACATGTCATATTTCATACATGGACACAGGAAAAGGTCACTGAACAAGCGAATTATCTTCTGGCTTGGACTGCACTAATTGAAGGACAGGGCTTAGTCATTACAATAATCTTGAAGCTTATCATAAGCAGACAAAGCCATGGTCTTAAAAAAAAAAAAAAGCTTGGTAAAAATAAACAGATGGCATCCATAATTAGCTCTGTGTGTGTTATGAGTTTGTTTACAGTTTCAACAACATTTTAAGACATTTTGACATAATTTTAATGACAAATCATTGCTAAAATAAGCATCTACCCTTTGTAAAATAAATGTGACACTAAATAAAGATCTTATTAGACAGTTTAATGCATATATATTTTAAATCAAATTATAATTTGTGAGAAACAATATTCTACAAGAAACAAGTGTAAAACCCTTCTGTTAATGCTCAATACCAATTTCACGTGAAAAAGCATCTCAGCATTCTTAACTATTCAAGATGTAAACCTACTATGTGCCAAACCATAATGTTTACATAACCTTGTTCAAAATAAGTTTTAATTAAGTGAAAGATTCAATTTTCTCTTTGTATGACCAGTACCCCAAAAGTATTATATAATACAGAGAGAATAGAACTGAACAGAAGCTAGGAAGTATGGTCAAGTTAGTGAGTGTTAAAACTCTAGGGAGACAGAAATAAATAAAACGAAATATTTACAGAATTTTAGGGAATCTCCCTATGAGCTACTTCACTGATGACAAAAGGAAACACAGTATGGAGAGGCTGGATGTCCTACCTCCACACAACCTACATCACCAGGAATGGGGCAAAAAGACTTATGACATGGTACATGGTGCTCACAGAAGCAACCACACTGGTGCAGTCCTCCAAAAGGCCTATGCTGCATCTACTTATAAGAAAACATGCAAACTCCAAATAAAGAATGAGCTATTTTAAAAAATGGACTACACTTTTTAAAAGGGTGAAGATCATAAATGACCAAAAGACCATGGGATTGTTCCAGATTAAGAGAGATGAGAGAGCTGAATGTGGGAACACAGGCTTGTGATCCCAGCACTTAAGAAGCAGAGGCAGGAAGATCTCAAGTTCAATGCCAGCTTGGGCTACACTGGGAGACACAATCTCAAAAAAAAAAAAACAAAACAGGAAAAAGATAAAAAAAACAACAACCCTGACCTGGAAATTTTCTCCTACTGCAGCAAGTATCAGTGAGGCCTCTGGTAAAACAGTAAGTCCTAGGCACAGACTGGATAACAGTAATGTGTCAATACCACCATCCTGATTTGGGGTTCTGTGGCGATGGGAAAAATTATCTCATGGTTTTAGGAAATAACATTAGGAATGGTGGGACATAAGGTCTAAAATTTTACTCAGAAAATTTCTATAGTAAAAAAAAATACATATGTGACTCTGCACATGAACTTACAGGAGGGCAACTGTAGACGGGCTAAGTGACAGGAGCTCAGAGTCCCTTCTACTTCCCCGTCTTTATTCCAAGTCAGAAATCATTTGGAAATTTAAAAAAAAAAAAGTAAATAAACATAAAAGTCACTTTAAAGGCTTTGTATTTTCTTATGATACAACATAGTTAAAATAGCAATATCTGGCTAGATCAACATGTGTTGCTCATTAGGGAATCATGAAGCAGCTATGACAGCTGCCCATTCATTCTGTTACTCCCTAACCCAAACTTCTCAGAGTTTACTCTGAATTTACCTAACAGTTGCTAAAACATTTTTAAAACTAGGTAACTACATAAGCAGGCCTTCCTTATGAGGAGAACTTGGACAAACTAATTGCACATGTGAGCATGTTAACAGCAAGAGAATCCTGGTATAGATTACAGAGGATTCGCTCAGCCACTATACAGAGAGGGTGATGAGAACAAGAATCCATGTTTCCTGAACAGATGGATATTTGACTCCAAGTGTTTGAGAGCTAGCCATCTCATGGCCAAAAGTATAAAGTCCAGTATTCAAAATCATGAATGGTATGTTGAAATGTGCAAAATTCCTCAATAAGGGAATAAGTCTTCCTCAAGACCCAGCTATACCACTCTTGGGCATATACCCAAGGAATGCTCAATCATACTACAAGGACACATGCTCAACTATGTTCATAGCAGCATTATTCGTAATAGCCAGAACTGGAAACAACCTAGATGCCCCTCAACTGAAGAATGGATAAAGAAAATGTAGTACATATATACAATGGAGTACTACTCAGCAGAGAAAAACAATGACATCATGAAATTTGCAGGCAAATGTTTGGAACTAGAAAATATCATCTTGAGTGAAGTAACCCAGACTCAGAAGGACAAACATAGTATGTACTCACTCATAAGTGAATACTAGATGTGAGGGAAGGGATGGCCAGACTGCAACCCACAGCTCCAGAGAGGCTAGCTAACAGGGAAAGACCCTAGGAGGGACTCATGGATTACCCTGCAAAGGAGAAGTGGATGAGATCTACATGAGTGGACTGGGTGGGGGAGGGGGGTGGCAGAAGGCAAGGACTGGGTGATGAGAACAGAGGGAAATGGGAGGGTCAAGCTGGAACAGGGACAGAGTGGGAGGGCAGGGAGTAAGATACCATGGTAGATGAGGACATCATGGGAACAGGAAGAGGCAGGGTGCTGGGGAGGCTCTCAGGAATCCACAAGGTTGACCGCACCTTGGTCTGCTGGCAGTGGTCCAGAGGGTGCCTGGACTAGTCTACTCTGGTGACTGGTCTAGCAAATAACCTAGCTGTCATCATAAAGCCTTTATCCAGTGACTGATGGAGGCAGATGCAGAGATCCACGGCCAGGCACCAGGCTGAGCTCTGGTAATCCAATCGATGCGAGAGAGGAGGGATTCTGCAGACAGGGGATGTTGAGATCATGATAGGAAGACATGCAGAGATGACCAGTCACACTAGTGGAAGCCCATGAACTGTGGACTGGTGGCTGTGGAGCCCCCATGGGACTGGACTAGGCCCTCTGGACACAGAAGACGGTTGTTTGGCTCGAACTGTTTGGGGGGCACCCAGGCAGGGGGATCAGGATCCATCCCTGGTGCATGGGCAGACTTCTGGGAATCCAGTGCCTGTGATGTGATGCCTTGCACAGCCTTGGTGCAGTGGGAAGGGGCTTGGACCTGCCTAGGCTCAGTGTGCCGGGCTCTGCTGACTCCCCATGGGAGACCTTGATTTGGGGGATGTGAGGATGTGGGGTGGCTTGGGAGAGAGGGGTGGGGTGGGAGGAGGGGGGATCTGCACGTGGTATGTGGAGTAGAAAATTTTTTAATAATTTTGGGAAGAAAAAGAAAAAGAACACACTTATTAAAAACTCCACCAACATTTCCAAAGGAGATGCCTGAGAGGAGAGGTACAAATATGGTACAAATTTTTAATCTCTAAATACCAGCATTTAAAATGAGCATGTTTTGCTGCTATCTTTAGTAAACATATTAAGCATGAATGGATAGGTGTTAGATAGAGATAGCCTGTGAGTCAGCCATGCCTTGGATAGGACATGGATATGAATATCCTAGGGACAGACATGGTAACCCAATAAACAGGAGGAATTTGTCCTCATATACAGGATAGAGTTTAATCACTGTGCCTGGTGCTATAGGTCTCCATCTCTTCCCTTGCTGCTGTCCCCATCCAGAAGGATAATAATGCCATGTTTTTGGTCCTGCTCTCTAGGTGCAGAAAGACTCTTTGTCTAGAACAGGATCTAACATGTGCTCCTGGGAATATGGGGTTTCAAAAAAAAGACCCAAAGTTATTAGACTTTTGATCCACAGGAGTGAAGGACAAAAGCACATTGAGGGAGGTCTCAGCACATGACTCCTGCAAACTGACCTTGAAAATAATAGCTACACTCAAGAGAAGCTGTACAAACTTAGGCTCCATCATGGAGTGTTCCTTGTAACCAGAGTCTTGAAAGGTCTTATTAATAAATAAATAAATAAATAGATAGATAGATAGATAGATAGATAGATAGATAGATAGATAGATAGACAGACAGACAGATAGATAAAACCACCTGGAGCCAGATTGGGGTAAACGCTGAAAGATCAGAGAAGCAGAAC